AAACAGCATTTAAACTTTTACACCGAAGTGCCAGTAATATCTCTTGTATTCGTAAGTCCGCCATTTTTGTAAATGACTACAGGGTTACAGGGCTACAGTTACGTAGAAACTATGACAGCGCCAGCAGTGGTAGTGCGTGAATTTCAAGTTGCAATTTTTAATAGAACGATTTAGTTAAAACAATAAACATAATTATTTGAAACACAGAAAAATGAATTTGCTATCACTATTATAAATTTTATTGAAACCAACAAATCACTGCAAACAAAGAATTTGGTTATTGTGTATTATTGTGTTTTGTGTATTAATATTTTGCTTATTTCTGATAACATCATTATTTACAATTACAAACATATTATTAATTCAATTAACAAAAATAATTTAATCAAAAAATTTTGTTTTATTCAACCAAATGGATCTCTCAGTGTAGAACCTTCTATTTCCAGTGTTAGTATTTCCGATTACGTTTGATTCCGGTGTCGTGGTTATCCATTGTCTTTGTCAACCGGTACACTATTATTCGAATGACAATTACGCGAGCAATCCAACTTGATTCGCACAACTACGAATGTGACGCAGCTGCGCCTCATTCGTGCCAGATACGGCGGGATGAATCCACCCAGTCAGCAATGCCATTTATCGCACCGTTTAACCTGCTATGCACGATCTAGGTACAAATGAAACCGACAAATCTCAATCCGGGCAAGTGCCAAAGACGCAGTTGGCTGTAGATGTTAGTAGAACAAATGTATATTTCGATCTGGCACATCTCCGACCATCTATTTCTTGATGCATTTTCTGTCATATTTGATTATATGCATATTATTGAATTCATGTTTTAGCATAATTGCGATCTTCTTCAAATTAAATCATGAAACTGTGCGGGTATATGATTAAATTAAATTAAATTAATTAATAATTTAAATTAAATTATATTAATTAATCTTATAATAATAAACAAATAAATTAATTAATTATTATAAGATTATTTTGAAGTAATAATAAAGAAGAACAGTTTTGAAACATTTTGCACGTTTTATTAATTTTATTGAAAATATTCGTTTTTATTCATAAGAAATAGGATTCTGCAATGTACGTAATCGACTTCGATCGTTACCATTTACAAGATTTGCACAAACAGTGTGATCTACAGATTACCGTACTTTCGATATGACGAACAGTACATACAATACGAACAGTAAAGACACGATAGATTGCAATAAAGATTCGTTATCATCATTATTACACTTAAAGGTGCATTTCATGGATGAAATCTGTTTCGCGTCATATGAAAACGAGCAAGCAAGGCGTCAATTACGTTACATTAACGCGTTTACACATACACATACACATTGTGTCGCATTTACATCGGAGAGAAAGATTTTTTTTACACAATAAATTAATTAATTAACAATGATATAACAAATATATCTCGCTTGTTTTTACAAGCTTTGCAATGCTACATCGTGAGAATTTTAATTCTTATAAAAATTAATAAAACGTTACAAGTTACAATGAAATGAGGAATATAATTTGCTTATCGGATCTAAAATACTTTTTTATTAAAATATAATTTTAACTATATTGATATTGTTCATCCAATATTTAGAGGCAAAAAACGACATAAAAATATTGGTCAAATGATTATTCTTTATTTGTGTGCAGAGAAAAATTAGAGAAAAATTTCTGTAATTTCTATTTTTAAGTGACGATATAATAATTAATATAACAGTCTTTTTTATCAATTGTGCTTTTCATGGAACTTACAAGAAAGAAAAGAGAGTTAAATGAATAAGATATCGAGTGTAAAATTGATTAGCATGTCGCACCCAGTAACGCGTATAAGACAGAATATTTCGCATTTTCTGTATAACGCGTGTAATGCATGCAAGCGTAACGAGAGCGATTTGTCGCGACGTTGGCAGTGACGATATACAGCGGGAAGGGATAACGTTAATAAAATGCTGGGAAAGGTTCTCTTAACGGGTCGGGCCCGGTTACATTATTCATGACTGTACCACATCACACACTCGATAGTGGATTACACAGCGCGATAACTCAACGAGCAATTTCTAGAATGTTGCCTTCGTTCTGAGGAACCTTCAACTTGATGTACGACCGCGGCATAATCACTTGACGAAGCGAGTGAGTTTCCATTGAAGGTCTTAATAATTCGTTCTGATAATTTTACAATGATGGGATGCTCTTTCCCTCCCTCTTACCTCTCTGTTTATCTTTCAGACAGGTTTGATAAATATTTGATACGTAATAAAGATATTAATAAAGATGATAAGAATATGAGCATCTTAAAGAATAAATTTTCCTTAATACGCTTTTCTTATCGTCGGACTTTTCAATTTTAAATTTAACTTAATTAAAAATTATCTTGTTATTCCTCAATAGAATTATCGGAGTCGAAGCAGTCGATTCTTTAGCGTTTCTGCTGAGGACACGAATGTCGATTCTGAGATTGGTGTCTGTACAACGATCTCTTCGGGTCGAAGTTCCGCTGGAGCTACAGGACTCAAAGCCAGTAAGCAACGTTGGAGCGGGTTTTTCACTAATACTAAGGGTATCAAGATGGATCTATTAACCGCTCAATTGGATGAATATAACAAGCACGGAGTGCCGAAATTAGCGAATGTTCATTTACAGTGTGACGTAACGATCAATGAAGAAGGTAGGATTCTTATTTTTACTTTTTGATTTTTTTTTTTCTCTATGAACATTTCTGGAAACGGAGAAATTCAGAATCTTGAATTTTCATTAATCTGTCATTACATGAGATCGAATTAACGCGATTATATTCTTTCTTGCGAAAATCTCCGTTTATCTTATAGGAAAATGGATATTTTATTCTTTTTTGCTATCATCAGCCCCTCAGTTGCAAACGGAACAAATGCAAATAGTAAAAGTATGAGCCTTTAATGATTACTCTTGGAAAGTCACATTACTTCTTACTTCCGTTTCTCGTTCGAATGCGAAAGCGCGATTTGAAACGAGATAATTAATTTTCCACGATAATTTCGTAATCGATAATGTTGTAATTTAAATTACTAATAAAAATTACTATATTAACATTATGTTCACAGTAATAAAAATAAAAAATCGAGTTTTTATTTTAAATCAAATAACTCGTCGTTTGATGCGTAATTTTTTGCGAGAAAGTGCGAAGAAAGAATTTTTTTTCATTTTTTTACATTTCCCAACAATTATTTTTATAATTATTTTTAAGACATAAATTATGTAATTTGCTACAATATATCTGTAGATATATTGACAACAGTAGACATTATTGCAACGTATGTATCAATATGATACTCTTTCAGCGCTTTACAATTTAGAAGGCGATTGGCGAGACATTGTCGAAAATTCTCACATGCTCTCAGAGAAACACACGCAGCAGCAAACCGCTCTCTGGGAGCTGGCTGAAACTGAAGTAGCCTATATTAAAACATTAAAAGTTGTGACTGATGTGAGTAAAATATATTTTCTATGCTTTTTATGAAATTAGATCTGGTTGGTTTATGTTCAATTCTATCAATGTTAGTTATCTAATCTTTAATAATAATCTTATTATTTAATTTTGATTTGACTAACTTTTTATATTTTTTAATTCTAAGAATATAAAAGGATAAGGAATAAATTCAATTTAAGAATTAAAATTAATAAATATTTTAAAAATGAACATTAATTAGATTGACTAAAAGTAATGATTGTTATTTCTAATATCGCAGCTCTTCATAGCATGTCTCTGCAGCCTGCAGGCCTCGAATATCCTGGTCGAAATCGACAGATTGAAACTTTTCAGCAATATACCCGATATCTATGCCGCCAATCGCTACTTTTGGACTGAGTATCTTCTCGTAATGGTGAACGCGTCAAGATCGAGCGGACAGCCGCTCGATCCCGGTTATCTTCTAGTGGGCTTCGAAACTTTCGAGCAGACGTTTGCTCCTTATACGAGATATTGCGCCGAACAGAGCAAGTGTCAGCAATATTGCAAGGATCGGCTGAATGATAATCAGCTTTTCACCGCGTATCTGGTGGTATGTGCTGTTAATCACTCTTGTTGGTTTCTATGTACGTCACGATATATGACGTACGATATTCTGCAGATATTCACCCATTGATCTTATTAATGTTGACAAATTTTCTCACTTCAAGATCGATCTTAATTGTTAGAAAACTATGTAGGTGTCTTAAAGAAACTTTCTTATCTAAAATAATAAGAAATG